TATCACTCCTTCTTTCACATCTATGATTGCACCAGCTGTGCATAAGAAGGATCGACCCAATATCAAAGGATCCTTGGGTTCTTCATCAAGCTCCAGAACCACAAAATCTGCTGGAATGAGTGTATCACCTATCTGAACATGCAGATCCTCAAGTATACCAACAGGGAATTTGGTTGATCTATCAGCGAATACCAGCAAGATTTTCGTCGGTTTGAATCTGGTGTAACCGAATCGCTTGGCTACAGAGTAAGGCATCAGATTCACACTTGAACCTAGATCGCAGAGAGACCTTGCAAACAATACATTCCCAATCCTGACTAAGAGAACAAACCTTCCTGAATCACTTCTCTTCTTCAGCACTTTGTTCTGAAGCACAGCACTGCACTCCTTCGAAACCATCATGACACTCTCTTTCTCAACAGCTTTCCCAGACACTAACCCCTTCATGTATCTTTTAAGGGCTGGTATCATCTGAACAGCATCAGCTAGAGGGAGTTTTACAGTCAAATCCTTCAGCATCTCCCTGCACTTTGCATCCTCTAAGTCCTTGCGAGACTTCTTTGGTGGAACTGGGTAAGGTACCTTAGGCGTGTAAACTCTTGCAGGAATGTTTGCTGGAGCAGGTGGCTGGAGCAGGTGCTCCGTCGTTGGCTCAGGGTGCTCCCTCGTCAAATCTACGTCTGGAGCAGGTGCTCCAGATTTTGGAGCAGGTGCTCCGATGGAGGAAGAGTGCTCCTTCGTCTTTTTTGAGACAGAGCTTGTTGGTGCAGCATGTAGAGTCTTCCCACTTTTAAGCTCAATAGCATTCACAAACTCATTCCTGGGGTTTTCACCTTTTCCAGGGAGAGTTCCAGGTGATCTCTTCACAGCTTCTGCAGTCTGAGCTACCTGAACATCCAGCTTCTTCACATGAGTCCACACAGCCTCATACTTGCCATTCAAATCATTGTACATGGTGTCCACTTTGGCATTAATCTCCATGGAAGACTTTTGCTGATTAACCAGCAGCTGTTGCATCAAGTTTTTCAGCTCATCCTGCGAGTTATTTGAGGAACTCGAAGAAGGCTGTAGACTTGTGAAAGGCAACTTCTGCTGATTTCCACCTTGAAATCGATTCTGATTGGTGATGAACTGCTTTCCTTGGAAGTTGCTGGAGAAGTTCTTCTGAAATCCTGACTGATTCTGCACTCCTTGCTGCGGATAGACCTGATCCTGAGGGTTCTCAACATTGTTGCTTCTGTAGGATAAATTCGGGTGGCTTCTGAAGTTGTTGAAACTGCGATTCTGCACATACCCTTGTCCATTCACGAAATTTACCTCCATCTGATCATTATTCTCTGCATCTACAAACTCTTGAGCAAGAGGTGCATCACCAACCTCATCAGCAAAATGCACAGATCTCTGGTTCTCTCTCAACAGCAGATTCACCTTTTCTGTAAGCTCATCGATTTTGCTCAACTCCACACTATGAACTGATTTGCTAGACCTGTCATACTTTTGGGATTTGTTGCTGGAGCTTGCAGCTAAGTTCTCAATCAACTCATAAGCAGCTTCTTTGGACTTAGTCATGAAATCGCCATTGCTAGCTGCATTCAAAGCATTCCTGTAATCCCAGTTGACACCATCATAAAAGGTTGACAGGATCTGCTCATCAGAGAACCCATGGTGAGGGCACTCTCTTCGGTACTCCTTGTACCTCTCCCAAGCTTCGCAGAAAGCTTCACCAGGTTGCTGTTTAAACGACGAGATCTTGTTCTTCAGAGCTGCAGTTTTGGCCTTAGTGTAGAAATGGTCCAAAAATGCTGATCTGCACTCTTCCCATGTAGTCAATGACCCAGGTGGTAATGACTTCAGCCAGCGCAAAGCTTTGTCCGCAAGTGAGAATGGAAAAAGCTTGCACTTCAAGAAATCGGCTGGTATCCCATTTGATCCAGTCGTGCTGCAAATCTCCTCAAAATTCTCGATGTGGTCCATTGGAATCTCAGCAGGAAGCCCATAAAAGAGGTGCTGCTTCACCAATGAGATCAGCTGAGGTTTGATCTCAAAGTCTTGCCTCTGAATGGTTGGAGGAGCAATCGCAGCCCTGTTGTGATAGTAAGCATGCGGACTGTCCTTGTCTCCAATAGCAGGCTGTGGCTGCTCCCTGTCTTGCTGCGCCTTTTGCAGCTGCTCCAATTGTTGTCGAAGCAGTTGAACCTCGACAGCCATGTTGCCATTGTTGCCTTGATCGCCCATGTTGGCTTGAATAGGCCTTTGACGTCTGTTTTCTCGCTCGACTCTTGCTCGATCGGTGTTTGATAAAGAAACAAGATCGGTGCAGTTGCTCCTTGTGGATATGTTTGACATGCACCTGAAACACACGCAAACAAGAGAACAAGAGAGAAAAATTAGTAAAGCCTTAGTCTGAATTTCAAACCAAAAATCAAAGGTAACGAATTGGTCCCCGTCGCAACGGCACCAAAATTTGATTCTCACTAGATATACTCCTAGTTTGTACTGCAATAGAACAGTGATGTAGTTGTAATATAAAGGATTCGAAATCCAGAGGACCAGTGTTACTCTATGAATTTGTGAGGATTGAATTAAAGCTAAGACGAAAGATGGTTTGTTTCGAAAACTAAAAAGTAAACAGAATGGCAAACAACGATTTAAATTCAAATTAAAACAAGCACTAGACCAAAGCAATTCGCAGGAATTTCAGAGATAAGAATCAGATGACTGTTCAGGGCACAAGTGTAACGCAAGTCTCGAACTCAAACAGAAAAGCTTATCGATCCACTGTCGTGATCTCGATAACTTTGTCTAACAACCTAAATCCTAAACTGTCGTTTGAACTTAGAAAATTGCAGACAAGCATTAGCTAGCAGGTTTGATCTGTTCACGATTTGCCTTAACTTCAACTGTCGTTGGCTAAGGACAAATCGCTCACCAATGTTTATTCTAGCAACCTATTACACTTTTGATGAATAGATTAACCTAAAATCGCAGATTGAGTGATCAATTCAACCTAAGCATTAAGTCTAACAATGGTGAAGACAATAGATATCAAGCCCTATTTGCATCTAATCCTTTAACTCATGAAATCCTTTGACGCTTTAATCTAGCTAAGAGATCTACTCAGACATGGAGAAAAGAAACACAGAAACAGATGGAAAGGAATTCATGAATTAAAATCGCAGAAGAGATAATAGGGTTCAGAATTCTTCTCAAAGTGTAGCAGATTTCTTCTCCCAAAAGCTTACAAGTAAAAACTCTATGGTTCAGGAAATTGTAAAAAGAAAGCGTAGTAGTAAAGATAGGCGGCTTGGACTCCTTTTATTCCTTTCACGCGGCTTGAGATTAGGTAAAGATGTTTTCCTTATTTTTCTCCCGTCTGGAGCAGGTGCTCCACGAAGGGTCCAAACCGGGAGCAGGTGCTCCGGGGATGATTTCTCCAAAAACGTGTGAAATAGCTCCTTATTGCTCAAATTCATCTCTTTTTGCTCCAATGCCTCCTAAACACTCCAATACTTTGATAAGGCCTCCAAGTCACCTGAAACTTCCTGAAAAGACTCCAAAAACTCCTAAAACAATTAGTAAACACAAGTTAGAATGAGTCAAAATCTCCACTCATCAGTACCCAAGGTTGTTATTTCTGATGGAGATTCTCACTTTGTGAACAAAACCTTAGAGGGATTGCTGAAGAAGCATGGAGTGAAACATAAGGTAGCTACTCCTTATCATCCTCAAACTAGTGGCCATGTTCAAGTGTCTAGTAGACAAATTAAGGTCATTCTTGAGAGGACTGTTAGCTCAAGCAGAAAAGATTGGAGCAAAAGGCTGGATGATGCATTGTGGGCTTATAGAACAGCCTTTAAGACTCCAATTGGGACATCTCTTTTCAATCTGCTATATATGGGAAAAGCTGCCACCTTCCTGTTGAGCTGGAGTAAAAAGCATTATGGGCTGTGAAGTTGCTGAACTTTGATATCAAAACAGCTCAAGAGAAAAGAATAATGCAACTCCATGAACTTCAAGAGATCAGGTTGGAGGCTTTTGAGAGCTCCAAGATCTATAAAGAAAAGACCAAGGCTCTACATGATCAAAAAATTTTGAAAAGGGAGTTCAAGAAAGGTGACTTGGTGTTGCTGTTCAACTCTAGGCTTAAGTTGTTTCTTGGAAAACTTAAGTCTAGATGGTCTGGTCCCTTTAAGGTTCTTGAAGCTAGGCATTATGGAGCTGTTGTGTTAGAAGGTAAAGATGGTCAAGAGTTTGTGGTAAATGGTCAGAGGATCAAGCACTACCTAGTCACACAATGGAAGGAGGAAGCTACATCAGTTCCAATTCTTGATCCACCATCAGCATAAACTTGGTATCAAAGTCAAACTTAGAGACTTTAAACAAAGTGCTCTTGTGAGACACCCCCAAGCTTATCACTTGTACATACTTTCTTTCGTGCTTTCTTTTGAATTTTTAGGACTTTTTGATGTGTTTTCTTGAGTGTGTGCAGGTCTAAAATGGTTTAGGAGTTGTCTTGCGGGGATTTTGATGCAGAACAGTTCAAAAATCGGGTGTGAATTGCATTAGTATCGACTGAATTGTATTTGGTGCATTCACTCGGTGTGGAGGTTTAGGTTTGGCCGAATGAATATCGACCAAAACACCGAGTGAAATGTAGTCGGTATGGTGTAAAATGGAGCCGGCCGTGCCCAGCACCAAGGAGATTTCAGTCGGTGTTTTTAGTCGATATTCTGCTTGAGAAATACGAATGAATATCGACTAAAACACCGACCAAAATTCAGTCGATACTACCTGGAGGGAAGATTCAAAAACGTGGTCCCAAGCTCTCCATGGTCAAAGTCAAACCTCCAGCTGTCAACAGTTGTCTCCCACAAGCAAGGAGAAAGCAGGACCACAGAGAGAAAATGGGTTAAAGTGTTTCTTTACCCTTTCTTTTTCAAAGAAATCGACTTCTCCATTGTTGCTCTGTAAAAGCTCTCTCATCTGCTTGAAATCGATTTTTAGCCTCCATTAAACTGAGCTTGAATCCATTCTTGCACTGCATCATTCAACTCCAAGGTACATTCCAAGCTCAGGCATCTCATTCTTCTTGGTTTAAACTTGTTAGATTCTTTGCAACTTCTTGAACCGATTTCTTGTGGGTCTGAACCTGGAGTAGCTAAGATGAGCTTGGAATCTTGGAGTTTAGGTTGTGAATGGTAGGGAAAGAACCCGCTTGAGCTTGTTAAACTCTGAAATCTAGCTAAAACTCTCTCAGCTGTACTTGTGTTCTTGAGCTGTTGTTGGGATTTTAGAAAATTCTGTAGAGTTTGGATTTTGATGTTTGGACTTGGAATGGATTTATATGATGTTGCTTGAATTTATCCTGATGATTTTCTTGCAAGCAAAAATCATTTTCAAATTTTTTGAGACTAAATCCCTCTCATTGGCGCTAATGGCTCTTTTTGAGATTCCTTGATGAATCAGGTACCATGGGAAGAACAGATGAAGCAGGCTCAAGTGTTGCTGCACCAAAGCTGCCAAAGAGAACAAATGGGAAAGCTTGTGCTTCAGAACCCAAAGGGAAATCAGTTGCAGCTAATGTCAAAACAAAGGGGAAGGGCATTGCAACTAGCTCAAGAGCAAATGGGAAGTAAAAGAGAGCTGAGAGGAGCTCAAGTGAGGAGTTAAGTGAGGAAGATGCCAATGTCGTTTTACCTGCAGCTGAACCACCAAAGAAGAAAAAGGTGGTTAAGAAGCCAAAAGCAAAGCCTCTGACTTACTCTGAGTACTTGAGAAAGCTTAGAGCTGTGAAACAAGAAGAGACTTTCTACCCTGACCTTGATCTGCTGCAGAGACTTGGGATTCTCGATGAGGTCAGGGCTGTTCTTCACACAATTGGTCTAGGTAACTTGATGGAGATGCCACATCCTTCTTATAAGGATGTCACTTGTCAGTTTCTTGCTTCTTTGCAAGTAAACCACCACAATGAAGAGGGACCGGACAACATTGCTGCTGGTTTTGGGTCAATAGAGTTCAAGATCGGTAAGGACCAGTATAAGGTAACTTTCAGAGAAATCAGTGATGTTTTTGGGTTCCCTGTTGAAGGAAGAAGATGCCTCAGGAAACTGGCCTACTATGGAAATGATTTGCAACAGTTGTGGTGGGCTTTAGCCGCGGGTTCATATGAGGCTGGAGTGAGCAAGGCCGCGGCAATTAGGAGTCCTGTTTTGAGAATGGTGCACAAGATCCTGGCCCACACATTCTTGGGAAAGAAAGAGTATTGCACAGTATATGATGCTGAGCTGATGATGACTGGTGAGGGGCTTAAACCTTTGATGCCTTCATTTAAAAGTGGACAGATTTTTTGTGGTGGTTCTCGCAAGCCTACAATGGCGGCTCTGCTTGTCAAGAACTTCATGGCCATTAAGAAATGGGCGCATAACAACAGAATGAAGGAGCCAAGTATGCGCATTGGAGGCCTGATCACTCCCATCTTGAAGCATATTGGAGTTGAGCTAAGTGGTGATAAGATCGGCTACAGGTTGATGGATGCTTATCATCTTAAGAAGATCAACTATCTTCATGGCACTGTTGGAGATTTTTATGCCTACAACTTCACTCTTGAAGATAAGATTACTGCTAGAGTCTTGTTGCCCAATCCAGTCCTTACCTCACTTGCAGAGAGAAAGAACATTGCTTTTTATATCACCAAGGATCAGTACTACAACCCAGAGATTCACCCTCCTGTTCAGCTGATCAGAAAGCCCAATGCTGCCAAAAAGCCGCGTGTGAACACACCTGCTGAGGAGCCAAACCATGTGGTTATACCGAGCCTGAATTGCCAAGACCAATCTATGGGAGCCGCAGGTATTGTCTTGATCCTTATGATGGCCCCATGATGAACAACGCCACTGAAGCTGCTCATCGCCGCACAAAGAATCTCCAGAGGTGGAACAAATGGCAAGAGAGGAACTTTAAGAAGATGGCTGGTACTGTAAGGAGCCTGGTGTGCACAGTTAAGAAGATGGGTTCCAAGATCAAGAAGCTGAACGCCAAGCTTGAGAGGTACCAAATAGGTGAAGCCGCTGAGAGTTCATGCCATGAAGAGCTGTTGAGGACTTGTGCCGATCCGTGTGAGCAAGATCCGAATGATGAGGAGCTAAGGGCCAAGAGGGAGGCAATGCAATCACCATCAGACCGATCCTCCAATCCATCAGTCTCAATAGGGTCTCCAGCCCCATCTCTAAGTCCTTGAGAAGGTAACACTCCACCCTTGTAAATATGCATCTAGCTTAGTTTATTTTCACTTTGCATTTTGTGATTTTGCTTTGCACTTCTCCTTCATGCTTTTATAACACAAGGGACTGTGTTATCTAAGTGGGGGGGAGGGGTTTTATGTTTACTAAATGTTTATTCTGCTCTTATTTTCTTTGTCCATTTGAGTCTCATTTTGCATTCATCTAAGTGCATATAACAACCAAAAAAAAAATTTTGAAAAATCTGAAAAATTTTCACAAAAAAATGCTCATGTAGTTGCATTCACATTTTAGGTTGAGTCTAGTTTGCATTTTCAAATAGATTGCATTATGCAATGGAGCAATGATAGGTTTTCCTTGAGAGTAAATCACTTTGAGAATTTGGATTAAATATGCTTGTGAAATGACTTATATGCTTGCAAGGCTTGAAATGATCTAAATCTGAGAAGCAAGTTTGAATTGAACTCAACTGTAATAAGTGAAAACCCTGAACTTGACTTGAAATTATCATTTGGTACATTGTTTGAATAAGCTTGTGGATATCAACATACATATTTGAGCTAGAATCCAGTTTTTACCATCCTCTTTCTTAGCTCAAATAGCTGAATCTGCATAATAGATCAGTTCTCCTCACCCTGAACCCATCCTTTTTTTTCAAGCCAATTGTTTGTGTGTGATTGAGAGGCCACCTTGGACCAAACTTAGCAGAAAATGTTAGGTTTAGGGCGACAAGGGCAAGTCTCATTGTGTGTTAAGTTCCATCATCAAGGAACTGAGAGATTTGGCAAGAATTAAGTGTGGGGGAATACTTGTTGGTGAGTGAAAAAAGGAGAGATGAGTGGAAATAAAAGGAGAATGGTGAGAACTAGGGGATAGAAAAAGAAAAAAAATCAGTCTTGGAGTTTTGAGTCAAAGGAAGTGAGCTCTAGTATTTTGAAAGGAAAGAGTCTAGCCTCTAAGTGAAAGGAAAAAAAAAGAAGCCAAAGAGCTTAAATGTTTTAAAAAGAAAGAAAAAGAGGCTAGAGGTTACAAAAGAAAGTGAAAAAGAGCTGAGTAAAGTTTGAACTCCAAGACTTGAGTGTGAAAATGAAAAGTAAATCCCCTAGTGAAAGAATAAGGAGTGTGAAAAGTAAGCAAGTGAGGAAACTTTGAGTAGAGTGTGGGGTGGGATGAGTCCTTGCCCTTGTATGCATAGGTTGCCTTTTACCTTTAGCATTCTGCCAAAGTTTGGTCATTCATAGAGATATCCCCTTTGCTGCATTGAACCCACTCAGGCGCTGATGAGATCATTTTAGTCTCATAACCTCACCCTAGCCAAACTTTGCTTATTTGAACATTGCATCATTTGATCCACTTGGTTAAAAGCTTAATGAATGTCAAAGAGTTGAGGAATAAGAGACCTTGTGGAGATTTCTTTGTGTGTTGTTATATCTGAGTATGGTCTTGCATTGCATATTGAGCATGAACTTGAATTCACTTAGTGGTCACTTCTCTCAAAGGAAATATGAGCTCCCAATGCATTCAACCTCTTTCTCTCATTTGTTCTTTTTGTTTGAGGGCAAGCAAAGGACAAGTGCGGGGGAGTTTATATATTCATAATTTGCATGTTTAGGATTGCATTTTTTGTTCAAATATTGAGTCTCATGCACGTATTTAGCTAGTTTTATTAGAGTTTGTCTTTGGTTTTAGCTTTGTTTAGGAATTTGCATTAGGTCCTAGAGAGTCCTGCATTTTTGGAGTGTTTACAGGTCACTTGGAGACTTTTGGGATCAAATTGGAGCTGGGATCATGGAGAGACTCTCACCTGTGTGCAACAACCCGGACAAATTCTTTGGAGCCAACGATACCTCTACTTTGATCGCGTGAGACGGAGGACTTTCACTGTGATTCAGCTTCCGAAGTCTGCATCAAGAATCAAGAGCGTCGAGTGTAGTTTTCATAACACTTGATATCGTCCTATTTGGAGTTGTGAGCTGAAAGTTACGGTGATCGGAAGCAGTGCATGTCTCGGAGCCGATAAAGGACCAAAGCAACGCGCGTCAAAGAACTGGTGGAACGGAGCCTTTGCCGACGTCACCTGAGCTCGAGCCTTTGACCAAACTTGTAGCTAAAGACGTCATCTGGCTCATGGAGTTGGAAGATCGAGGTTCGAACCAGCGAGCAAGGAGTTATGAACCATTTTGTGCAGGCGACTTGTATTCATATCAACCAGTGGCACCGAGTGAAAGTCAGTCGGTATGAATGCAAACAAAACCTGACTTTTGCTGATCCTTGAAGTTCGAATTTGCCGCATGAATGCAGAGGAGCCACACCGAGTAAAAGCCAGTCGGTGTCTGTCCCCTGAAGCTATTCTTTACGCTGCACCGAGCAAAACACCGAGTGATTTTGTCTAAGAGATTCTTAATGCGGCACCGACCAAAAGCACCGACTGAAAGTCAGTCGATACAACACGTTTTTATGGGCCTTTTTTTAGGACCAAAACCTAGTTTGTTCTAGGTTGGCTCACCAAAAAACCCTAACTATATATATGTTTTAGCATTATCCAGCAGACTCAAGCTTTATTCTCTTTGTTTTCTTTGCCTCTTTTGTGAAAAACCAAAACTTTGTAAGAGAGATCTTCATTTTCTGGGTTGAATCAAGAGAGTAATTAGGGTTTAAAGCTGAAATCCATCATTATCTATCATCTCCATCTTCATATTCCACCCCTTTGTGAGTTTTAATCAGAGAGATTGAGAGATTTCTGTGTTTAAAGCTGCAAACCCATCATCATCCATCTTCTCCATCTCCATTTCTCATCATTAATCATGCCAATCTTCTCAACTTGCAAAGGTTTAAGATAGATTAGTATGATTAGTGAGTAGTTTATCTTAATGAGGCTCTAGATGTGTAGGTTAGGGTGCTAAGGTTTTAGATTAGGAGTGCTCAGGGCTAGATTCAATGATTCATTTCTCTAAACAGCTGTTCTCTAGGCTAGATCCTTGCACATCACTTGTGATCTAGATTCTGGGAATTTCATGCACCACAAGTGTTTGATGAAATTCCTGAAAGAGCTGTATTAGAGGTTTAAGCATTTGCTGCATGATGATGATTTGTTATTTGCTTGAATGATCATTTAGAACTGTTTCTTAATGCTCATTGATTCATATTTCGGGACTGTTCTTGTTTTGCCTTTACGGGGAGGCATGGGGGTCCGAGGGACTACACACTAGAACTGGTTTTGACCTAGGCCCGCTGTTTGGTAGTTGCATGAAGAGATACCCATGTTTTGCTGTGTGATTGATTGTAGAAACAACTTGAAGTGTTTTATTATATAAATATTGCCGTGTGAGCTTGTTTTAGGATTAGACTTTTTAAATATAATTCATATTAGTTTGATGGTGTTGTGGGCCTCTTTAAGGTCCATCTGCGCTGAATAATCCCCATTACTCACCCCTATTCTTCCCTGGTTTCCTCCAGAATTAGGTGGACTAGCTAAGTCTAATATTTTTTATTGTTACCTGGGCGTTTTCGATCCTGACAGACTTAAGGCTTACCAAGGACCAAACGTGGGGTCTTACCGAATGAGGTCTCACTACCGACCTAACATGCCTGATTTCTCGCCTCTTTAGAGAGCTAGGATAGAGATGTTATAATTGGTATCAGAGCCCAGGCAGATCTCCTAGCTCTGTCCAAGGAGGTCGAACCCTCGTGTTTAAAAAAACATGTTTGCAAAAGAATCATATCATACTTTTAAAATTAATTTTTATTATATAATGATTTCAAAACCTAGAATAACAACAACCACATATAGACGCCTGGTCCTATAGTTTCCTTTCTTTCATGTGAGAAACCGCATGGGAGAGGGTTATGCCTTTAACCATGTGATAGTTTAAGTCTGCCTTTGGAGTTGCAATAAAGTTGCATCTAGGCAATCTTTGGTTCTATAGCAGCTATCAACGTGTATGATTAGGTTCAGACCTGGTCTACATAGTTGAGGTATTAAAAGAGAGGCACCGCAAGAGTCCATATAAATTGTCAGACTATAAAAACTCAGGCGAGTTTGATCTCGGAGTGACGAGGAACCTAGCTGTGTTATCTAAAGAGAACGGATGTGCTTGAGTACCTTTGGGAATTCACACTTTTCAACCGGACTCAGAGAATTTCATGGTGGCATATGTGTGCATCGAATCTGCTCAGCAATATTATCCAATAGCTTTCTTTTCCTTCTCTTTCCTTCCTTTTACCTTAGACTTCTGTTCAAGACTCGAGAGCCTGCGTGCAAGAAGTTCACTCCTCTTCCTCAAGTGAAGTTTAGCAAAGAGCCGGTCGTCATTTCGTTGAATAGTGAAGCAGAAGAAGGTCCTTTCTCTAATTGTTTTCTTTTTGTATTTTTCAAAAAAACAGTTTTCATAGGATTGGAACTTTTTTTTATTTTTTCCAATTATTGAGTGCTTTTAGGATATCATAGGAATTAGTTAGATTCTATGCTTGTGTTCTTTTCATTTTTTTTCTTTTTTTTAAAAAATATTCTACTCCTTGACACATTAGCAAAATGGTTTTTGGCTTTTACTCAAAATATTTATTATTGCATCATACCTTAAACCCTTCCTCTTTCACGATTCTATCTATCACTCTGCATTCCTAACACCCTAGCCCCATCTCTA